TTCGCAAACGTATACTGCCCAAAAGAATCCAAATGACTTCATGGTAAAGCACTTCTCAAAATCTATTCACGTGGAATTAAAAGGTCACCACCTCGTTATTACCAAAAAGGATTCCAAAAAACAACCTAAGGAGAAAACCGACAAAACGTCCAAGAATCTAAGTAGAAAATCTTTGTATTTTTTTAAAATGTGTTTATTTAATAAAATACAAAAACATTTATTACGTGGCTGCCATATACGAAGATTAAGAAAATGTTTTCCTAACTCTTCCTGTTGATTTATATTTGGAAATGTGGGTAGAGTAACGTATATCGGCGTGGAAAATGGAATTGCTGATGTGAGTTCAAACACTTGGTTCATCGTTTGTGTTAACGTACGTATAAATATTCTTAGCAAAGGCATACATCACTCTATTCTCCCCCCAGCTACGGGGTAAATAGCAGAGAAGACTGAAATATTGGTATTGGCAAGCAACCCTTCTAAATGTATGAAAACTACCAAACCATAGCGAGGCCAATGGAAACCAATCAATTATCTTTCGCAAGAAATCATGGAAATTCAAAGATAATGAGAAAAATAAGTGGCGATTCATGAAGAGACATTTAAATTATAGTAGTAGATAATGAATCAGTTTTTAAAACAATTGCCTGCTTATTTGGTTGGATTTTCAAATATGGGTTACAATACCAGATAAACATAACTGAAAAACATGGACCAAAAGTCTTCGCGGAATGTAGGGCGGGAAATTAATAGTATATGAAAATGAAAAACAAAACATTGTCCTCTTCATTATTTAAAAATTAAAGTAGAATATATCTTTAAATTCTCACATTATGATTAAAGAATAAAATAATAAAAATTGTTTATAAATTTAGAAAATTATTGAATTACTGAAAATGATATCACAACTAACTTATCACTGTGTTTTAAAAGTGAAAATAGTTTCTCTCGAACTTTTTGGGATACAAAGGTAGGATTTTGACGAATCTAGCCAGAAATGCCTGCAATTTAGTCTTCTGGTTTACGCATTATTTTAATTCAGGCACGTCCCTGAGTTATATCATTACAAATAGAAGGAAGTTAATGGTGTCATTTTTTTAAATTTTCTGGCAGGAGTCCGGGGATTTGAATATTAGAAGGTCCGGAGCTGCCGACTATATGGAAATCCTAGACTTTGTGGACCGTTGCCATACAAAATTAAATAAGTATCGAGCAGTAAAGCCAGTAAATAAGAACTAAGTGAGTTTAACTTTGGTCAACAAAATTACATAGACACAAGGTTTTTCCACGCGTTCAGGTAACTAGAAATATTTCATAAGAATAGAAAAAAAAAGTTATATTTCCCGACTATCTAAGGTGAGCTTTTTTTTTTAAGAATTTTCATCACAAATCTGATGGCGATCAATGAAAATGGCTAAATGCCTGCGATCAGATTTTGCAACTATTCAATGGTATGTTAGGTCTAGTATCAGACTCTTTGTTATCTTCTATGCGCCAGGAACTTTCAATATTTTGGCGAATATGGCTCTCCACTGTTTCCTGTCCCTTGTAGCTCTTATTAAATTTTGTCTTTTTTGCTATCACCCCTAAATAATTTTTTGACAACCATTTCGACAAGCTTGTTGGATAGGTTAAGTGCCATTTTCCTATCTCCCTTTTTGTCTTATTTTACAATAAGGTTTTATATTGTGTGCCGCTCGAGGTAGAGGGTTACATTAAGGGGCAGTTTATATGGAAAGGATGGTAAGATAAGGCTTAACCCTAGACCTGAACAGGTTAAAATTGTAGTGATCGAAGAAATCTCCTCTTGGGAGTCTGTTTCACAGAGTCTGTTGTTCGTGAGAAGAAGCTGCTTGAGTAGAACTTCTCACAGATGGAATAGGGGAGAAATGTGGGTGGTTTGCTACAATGTAAGTGGCATGGCGGGCCCTAACTGCGAAGGTTAGACCTGACGGAACCAAGGAAGGTAGTTTGTCAGAGCACTTTCCATGTTAGTAGCGATAGAGGACATGCTGACTGGGGGAGAGAGGTTGGAGTGTTAATATTTTTCCTAGCCCTCTTTCCTCATTAAGTGCCCTAGAGATTTCAACAGTGGCTTTCTGATGTAAAGTATCAGTGTTCATTTTATTATCATTTTCTCTAAAATTTCGTCGTTCTGCAGGTGTTCAGACTATGGTATTCTCAACATCCTTCTGTAGACCTCAAGGAACAGAATATTTTTTGCTTTTTATCAAAACACTTTGGCCAACGCAATCTCTTGCTTTCTGTAGGTATCTGCAGGAACACAGGAAAATTAATAAATTCTCAACCAACAAAGGTACCAAACGGAATCATAATACTCAAATACGAGAATTTGGACTTAGAGGTTGGGGAATTCTATTTGGTCGTTCCGTCAATTTATTAGCATATATATATATATATATATATATATATATATAATTGTGTATTTGTAATTCTAGACAAGTTTTATTAAAGACAACTGGCAAGGTACTGCGATTAA